CCCTCCCCTGCCCTGCCCTGCCCTGCCCTGGGGAGCTGTCAGGTGGACACAGATGGGGAAAGCCAGGTGCCTGAGATGCAGACCATGCCGATGGGCTGAGGTCCACTGGGCGGGCGCAGATGGTGGAGCATCAGGTGACCAGGCCCTGGGCTGTGAAGGGTGGAGGGAGGGCAGAGGACCCCAGGGACAGCTGGACGATGTCGTTCTCCCATGTTAATGTCAAGAATGTCTGTGTTCTGGGGACAAAGTCCTGTCCTTCCTGGAGATCCCTGAGCACCCCACGTCCCCGCTGTGCAAGGAACCCTGCAGGTTCTCAGGGAGGGAGCGCCCCCAGCCTCACTCCCTTCCTTCCTGGCACCCGCCTTCCCCAGCCTGGGCTCCCACAGCTCCTCAAGGGACCAGGAATGGGGAACCTTAGCACCAGAAAGAGACCTGTCCTGTCCCCAGCCTGGGAGGGTCAGGTCTAGGTGGGACTCCAGGAAGGACCAGGGGACCCAGGGAGCTCCAGAGCGGCAGACCCTCACTGCCTTCCTGGGTGTCCCTGCGCTGTGGGAGGTCCCCGAGCCTGCTGGTCCCCACGTCTGCTCTCTGCTGCAGACAAGATTGAGCAAGAGAAGAAGGAGCAGAAGGAGATCGAGCGCCACACGCGGGACTTGGACAACGACCTCAAGAAGCTCAACCTGCTCATGAGCAAGAGTCGGGGCAGCTCCCAGGGGCTGCAGCAGGACAACCTGGTGGCCGAGGCGGAGTGCGTGCGCTCGCTGAAGGTCACCCCCCGGGCCCCGGGACCTGGGTGGGCGTCCTCCCTCAGACGGAGCTCCCGTGCTGCCGCGGGGTCCTCTCCAGAGGGGTCAGGAGGCTGGCCTGCCCCTCTGGCCCCAGCCTCCGAGTCCCGACCCTCCCTCCGCAGGCCGCCGAGAGGGAGACCATGGAGATGCAGGAGAAGCTGCAGCGGCTCCAGGAGGACAAGGCCACCGTCCTCAACAGCCTGGTGGAGGCAGAGTGAGTCCCGCCCACCATCCCGGGGGCCCTGGAGCGTCCTGGCGCCCACCCACTGCCAGGCTCTGGCCCGCCACCCTTGGTGCCAGTCGAGTGGCTGTCTTGGGTATCAACTTCAAAACACGCCCGTTATTTTCACGGAGTCTGCGCACTTCAGACCTCAGCCCAGTGAGCATCAGGGGAAGCGACTCTCCTTTACCGGAGAGCCGCTGCGCAGATGCATTTCTTTCTGGTTCAGTTTTGTCTTTGACAAAAACGTTTCCCTGTGGTGCGCGCCTGTGGTCCCGGCTACCCGGGAGGCCGAGGTGGGGGCATCTCAAGTTGGAACCCAGTCTGGGTGACTTCGTGAGACCCCGTCTCAAAGTTGAAAAAAGAGAAGATTAAAAGGGCTGGGCTGGGGCTGGGGCTTGGCAGTAGAGCTCGCCCAGCACGTGTGAGGCCCTGGGTTCGCTCCTCAGCAACACATAAAGACAAATAAATAAAATAAAGGTGTTGTGTCCAACTACACCTAAAAAATAATGTTTAAAAAGGGGGGGCTGGGTGTAGCTCAGTGGTGGAGCACCCTGGGCTCAGTCCCAGGACTAGGGGAACAGGATCTCCTCTGAAGCCACCGGGGATCTTCACGGCTCTGTCCACTCCCTTGGGAACGGTGCTGTGCGGGCGCTGTCTGTCTGCACCGTGATTCAAATCCCTCATCCAGGGGGGTGAATCGCAAAGCCATCATCTCTTCCAGCAATTTAATATGATCTAAGCATAAGGCCATCCGTGGCCAGTGCCTTGGGGGCTGGCTCCTTGGAGACTTTACAGCTGTTAGACTGCAGGTCTCCTCGGGCGGGCGACTCACTCCCTCTTAGGGTGACGTCTGTCGCCTTTTTTCCTCAACTCCTCAGTCAGACCTTCACACTCTCTTCCTGCCTCCCAGTCTTCTCTCCTCCGCCTCCTCATCTGTTTCCCCGTCACCCCACCTGCCAGAGGCCTGTCTGTCTCAAGGCCTGGCAGATCTTTTCTGTGAGGGGCCAGAGAGCAAAGGCTGTGAGCCTTGCAGTATGTGCCTCCCAGCTGCACACGATGTAGCCCTGGGAGAAGACCCCTGGTTTCTCCAGCTCTAACTCTGCCTCTCCTCCCTCCAAAGACACCAGATCATGCTTTGGGAGAGAAAAATCCAACTGGCAAAAGAGATGCGCTCCTCGGTGGACTCTGAGACAGGACAGACGGAGATTCGCACCATGAAGGCCGAGATCCACAGGATGAAGGTGGGTGCAGGGCAGCAGCCCTGGCGGGGCCCGGCACGCATCCCTCCATAGACCAGGACCAGACCAGGCCGAGGCCCTGGCTCCCCTGGGGGACCGCCTGGCCACCCTGGCGGTGACAATGCCTGAGATTCCCTCCTGCACAGAGACCTCAATTCCTACCAAGCGCAGGCTTTGCACAGGCCCGGACCTGCCTCACCTCGGGGCCCGAGGCGCTGTGTCCTTCCTGCCCAGCAGAGATCACAGAACAACACAGGACACGCACACAGTGACACAGCCTTTTTTTTTTTCTTTTCTTTTCTTGGTACTGAGGCTGGAACTGTGGGCTTTCCCGTGCTTGGAAGCACTTGTGCACTGAGCTACATCCCAGCCCTTTTGTAAACTTAAGACAGGGTCTCACTGAGTTGCCCAGGCTGGCCTTGAGCCTGCGGTGCATGGACACCTGACTTCAAGAAACACAACCTCATCCTTGCTGGAGCAATCAAGGCACTCGCCTGATATTTCACAATTTCTCAACCCACTAATGAGACATGTCCCACTGTGGGACAAGAAGAAACTCACAAGACAAAGGGTCCAGAGAGCCATCTGGTCCTTCACAGAATCCAGACTTCACTACCTTAAAAGGATGACAATTAAATCCCCAAACCCTAAGGGTTCTCCCGAGAAGCAGATCCCACAGAACATAGCCACGGTCATGCACCACCTAGCAGGTGCCCTGCCAGTGCCGAGCCATCAGACAGCGCCCGCGTCCAGGGAAAGCGGACCTCTACTGCGCACTGACTGGCAGGCCAGGCTCTTGCAGGACGCCCTCACAGACCCCCCAGGGGTCGTGGGCACCAGCTATCTGGGCAGCCCTCGGTGAGAAAAACTAACCATCACACCGTGTTAGGGTAACACCCGGTCCATCTTCCTGTGCACTGGATTCCCAAGAGGGGGCTACTGATAGGCAAATTTGTTTTTTAAACAACGTATTCATTTACTCACTCACTCAGTGCTGCTAGGGATGGAACCCTGGGCCTCCCGCAAGGCCAAGTGCTGTACAACTGGACTGAGTCCCCATCCCCAGAAGTACATTCCTAACACAGCCTGCCAGATTAGTATTCAAAATCACGTGATGGTGGTTACGTCCCTACCAACTCCAAGTTCTGGTTTTTGTTCAGCTAGCTAGCTAGCTTTCTTTCGAGCCACATTAACCACTGAGCCACATCCCAGCCCTTTTTTTGTATTTTGTTTAGAGACAGGGTCTCACTGAGTTGCTTAGGCCTCACTAAATTGCAGAGGCTGGGTTTGAACTCCTGCCTCAGCCTCCTGAGCCGCTGGGATCACAGGTGTGGCCACCGCACCTGGCTTTGTTTTCTTCCAAGTCCACTTTGTCGAGGCCTATCTTCACATACAGTAAAATATGCTTATCTTAACATACAGCTGAGCTCGGTGCCATGGTGCACCCCCATATTCCAGCTACTGGGAGGCTGAGGCAGGAAGATCGAAGTTCCAGGCCAGCCTCAGCAACTGAGCAAGACCCTGTCTCAGAGTAAAAATAACAAGGGCTGGGGCTGCAGCTCAGTCAGAGCCCCCGGTTCAACCCTCAGGACTGCAGAAAAGAAAAAGGAAAGATGACTCTGGGTTCTGACCCTGGCACACACCTGTGTGGCCACAGCCACAGTCGAGGCCCCAACGGTTCTGTGGCTCCAGAACAGTCCCCTGTGCCCTGAGGTCGATCCTCCCAGCTCCACCGTCCCGGCCACAGGCCCTGCACCCAGCTTCCCTCAGTGTCACCTCTCACCAAACCTCCGTGCGCTTGTCACAGCCAAGAAACCAGCCTGGCCCCGCCAACCAAGCCACCCACTCTGCTCAGGAACGCCCCTTTCCCGTCCCGGGTGGGAGGACCGCGGCGGAGGACCAGCTGTGCCCCGCCCAGCCCCTCTGTCCTGTGCCCAGGTCAAGCACGGGCAGCTGCTGAAGCAGCAGGAGAAGATGATCCACGACATGGAGCTGGCCGTGGCCCGCAGGGAGACCATCGTGACCCACGCCGAGGGGCAGAGCAAGATGGACAAGAAGGCGGTCACCCGGACGGACTTCCGCCACAGGCAGATGGAGCTGCGCAAGAAGATCAGGGACGTGCACAAGGTGGGCAGCAGGGGAAGGCCTGGACGCCCCCCGTGCTTTCCCACCCGCGGCCCCAGGATCCGGAGGTGCCCCTATGTCCCCCCCACCCACTGGCCCCCTGAGGAGCCTGCCCACCTGTCCAGGGCCTGCGGACCCCGGCCCAGTCCCACCATCCACCTGTCAGCAAATCCTCTCAGCAACTCACTCCAGGGCTGCAGTCGGGACTGCCGTGCTAAGGCTGTGACAGGGACGTGACGAGGGGGCAGCAGGCCAGCTTTGGCAATGGACACACCAATTTGTCCTGCTCTGATGACAGGAGTCACTGCAACCTCTGGGTCTGGCCACCATCTTATTACAAGGGGGACACAGGACCCCCGCTGGAGCCTGCTGAGTGAAGGCGTGGTGGCCCCCAGCTGGCCCGTGTTCAGCAGGGCTCCGTGTGCTGCTCTCCTGGGGACGGCCTTCCTGTCCCCCTAGCCACATCCTCTGAGCCTGTGGTGTGCCCTGCCTGCGGAGGGGTGGAGCCAGTGCTGCCCCAGCGCCCCTTCCCTGGTGACTGCCAGGCTGGGTCTCTGGGCTCAGACTTCCCAGGTTGGCCCACAGCCCCTGCTGACCAGCTGTGGGCCTGCGTCTCCACACCTGCCCTGGGAGTAGGAGCAGGAGCTGCCTCCCTGTAGGCAAAGGGTTAAATGTGACAGCAGCCATGGCTCTGCACAGTGGGTGGCTTGGGGACACCTGAGAACATGGCCTCAGAGCCCTCTCTTCTACTCACGAGGGGGGCATGTGGCCTCCTCTCTGTGCCTCCTCCTCAGGAGGGGAAGGGAGCGGCACTCAGGTGCTGTGGGGCAGTCCCTGGAAGTCTCCGGGGTGCCGAGGCAGAGGCCCTTCCTCGCTCCTCGTCTGTGGCATCAGCCTCTCTGGCATCCATTCCTTCTGCAGCTTCCTGTCCCATGTCCCCCTCCTCCCTGCCTCCCGTGTCTCCCGGTTCCCCACCAGGACCTCCTTGTCCTCCGGGCCCTAGCCTGGCACGCCTCTGTCCGCTACATGAGGGCCATGCAGGGGCCCAGCAGGTTCTGCTTACCTCCCAGGCCAACGAGGAGTGCACCAAGACCATCTCAGAGCTGGAAGAGACTCAGAAACTCATGAGCAGCTCCCTCCTTGAGAAGCAGGAAAAGCTGTCCATGATGCAGGCGGACTCCGACACGCTGGAGGCTGACCTCCGCCGGCTGGTGGCCCTCAAGCGACAGGTAAAAGCCAGGAGGTCACTGGGGCTCAGGCACCCTGGCAGAGGGGTACGCCACATGCAAGAGAAGGGGGTGCCACCCAGGGAAGGCCTCTCGGGTCCAGGTAGGCCCAGGCTGATGGCACCACCAGCTGCTCACATGTTTGTGACTCTCTGATTTTTTTCACTTAGCAAATATCGATAGCTATTGAGTATAGGCTGGGCCCATCCTGGGTGCCAGGACTGCAGGACAGAGCAGAAAGACAAAATGCCCGCCCACCCTTCACCAGAGACCACTTGCTGGGAGCAAGAGAACAGAGGCTAAACAGAATAAATAAAGAAAAAGACAGGGTGTGTTAGGCGGTGATAAATTCTTTGGAGAAAATTCAGCAGAGGAAGAATGTCGGGCATCAGGGTGGAATGGGGGACTGAGATTTCTAGTGGGGCGTTCTGGGAGGCCACATGGAGAAGATGGCACTTGAGCTAAGACTTGAAGGAGGCAAGGAGAGACAGAGCCTTGGAGGCGCGTGATCCTGGCTTTGGGCCTTTCTCTTGGCACCTTGAGGAGGAGATGGTGAAGGGCGCTGGGTGAGGGGACTTGGTGTTTGGCAGGATATCCCTGTTGTTGGAGAGTGTTGGGTGAAGGGTCAAGGGTGGACGCAGGAGGCTGCTTGCTGGAGTGTGCATGGACTAGGCAGCCACCCAGGGAAGCTGCTGGATTCTGCATACCATTCAGAAGTTCCGCCAGTGGGATTCCTACTGGACGGACGGTGGTGTGAGTGTGAGATGGGAGGAGGGGGAGTGGACTCCAAGGACTCAGCCAGGGCCATGGAGACCAGAACAGGTCTGGAACCAGGCCTGACACACGGCAGTGTCAAAGATGCCTCCCTGCGATGGTGAACAAGGCTCCCTTGGGAGGATAGACTCCTCACCTTGAACTTGGAGACTGGGCTCTTTTGGGCACGGTGCTCCTCTTTGGCATTCCCTCGGCTCTGCACTGCGGTAGAGCAGGTGTCCTCCTGACTTGCACGGCCTGACGTGGGGTCTCTTTCCCACCCAGAACCTTTCGGAGATTGTGGCCCTGCAGACTCGCCTCAAGCACCTGCAGGCTGTGATTGACGGGAGGTACGTGTTCCTGTTCCGCTCAAAGAAATCCCTGCTGATGGAGCACAGGCGGCTGAATGACCGGTTGGGCCTGCTCAGCACCATCCTCACCCATGTGCAGGATGAGTACCCCCAGTTCCAGGAGGCCCTCAGCAAGGTTACCCAGAAGATTGCCAGCAAGCTGGAGCCCACCTAGAAAGCTCAGGACTCCACCTTCCAAGGCCCACCCCTGAGGAAGACGGCCAGAATTCTGTTTACCCTCAGGGGTCTTTCTGTGTTCCTAAAAAACATGTGTGCCCCAGAATGTCACTGTGTGATGAAATGGAGAGGCCGGCCTGCAGGAATTAGTCCCCAGCTGCTCAGCAGCTTAAACCAAGTCCAACCCAGGGCTCCCTTGGTGCCTCCTGAGCCTGCTGGCTGCCTGTCTTCTGCTTCCTTTCTTGAGCTGAATGGTCCAAGTGGAAGTCCAGCTTTAGCAACTCCCCCATCTGCAGGAGCTTCCTGGAATATTGTCCCAGGTATGGGGACGGGGGCAGGTAGGGCAGAGGGGACCCATGGAGCAGGACTGGCCAGCCAGGCCATGAAGGCCATTTCATTCCTACTCAGTGCTTCTGGCGGGGCACATCTGGAAATCCACCAAGCCCCCAAAGAACTTGGCCCCTTCTCCTGCCCCCACCTCCAGTGTATGTACAAGTCAAGGCTCTCAGGACTTCCAAGGGAGGTGACCAGCAGGTCTGCCTGTCCCACGTCTGTCAGCCTCTCTCCATCATTAACCCTTTTTCCTGTGCCCTTGAATTCTATGCATCAATTACCTGTGGCTTCTCCAAATCTGAAAAGGAAAATGCTTGATGAAATAACTTCACTTTCAAATTTTGCAGCTGAAGAATAAAAACATTCTTTCTGAATATGGGAGTGAGGCCTATTGACTCTACAACATTGCAGAAGTACAGCGCCATAAAGCAGGTGGGGAGGTCTTAATTCCCCACCCAGGGCAACGGCTGTGGGTATTTGGGCATCGCTCCTTACTTCCTCTGGCACGTGAAGACTGAAGTGTGCATTCAGTCTTTGTATCCCACACCTAAAATTTGTTCATCTTAGTGTAAGCATTTTCTCACTTTAGCAAAAAAGACAAAATGCTTCGCATTATATATAATGTTTTCACAATCACAGGTTTTATGGGTTATCACGATGTTTGACTATTCCTCTAGAGAATAAGTGTAAATTGTGGGAAGTTGAAGGAACCTCCAGATGTAGGCTCATTTCAACCTGTCACCCAGTCTTTCCGAGGATGCCCTGGGGCTGGGTCGGCAGGATGCAGTCCCTAGGTGCAGAGTGCGGCTTGGCAAGCTTTGACCGAGTCTTACTAGCCGCAGGAAGGCGACCAAGGCCTGGGCTGTGCCCACGCCGCGCCTTGTCTCTGGACCCCGTAGGGACAGGCAGCCACTTGAAGGACGCTCTCCTGGGGACACCTGTCCCGCCGGACCCGCGCCGCCACTAGGTGGCGCAGCGCAACCTGAGAGCGCGCCTGGCCTCGCGCGCCTGCGCGGGCAGCCGCTACACGTGACCGCCACGGCCCCGCCCCACCGGCCGCTGGGCCACGTGACCCGCGCCCGGCCCGCCCGGGGTCTGCGCCGCGGGGGGCGTGCGTGCGCGCCGGTGAGCGGCAGCGGGCCGACGTGCGCGCAGGTGAGCGGGGGCGGCCGTCCGAGGCCCGGCAGCCGGCTGCCGTGCTGGCCTCCGCGGCGGGCGGCCGGGTGCGGCGCCCGGCTGTCGGCGACCTCTTGGTGGGGAGAGTCGGGCAGTGCGGCGCGGTCGCGGGGGAGGCCCCGGTGGGTCGCGGGGGACAGTGGGCCGGGGCCCCAGACTCCCGGCCTCTCGCTCGTCCCCGCCGCGCCCAGCCGGGAAGGCTCTGCTCCGGTGTCCAAAAGCTGCGCTTCGACCCGCGCTGCTCCCGGAGAGCAGCTGCCCCGGGCACCACCAGAAAGCAGAACTCGACCGGGTCAGCTGAAGCGCCTGACCTTTAGCTCTTCCCCATTTCCTCTCCGAATTGTCGAACCGAGAGATGAACCGGGCACTCTCCCGTGCAGGGCCAAGGGCTGTCGGTCCCCATTCCCAGGACCTCGCTTCCCACGATGGGCGTGTTGCAGACTGCGCTCTGCCTTGCTGTGCCCCGCAGCTCCTGAAAAACGCAGATGCCGCGCGCAGACGCCGCTCTGCTGGGTTGTCCTGTCGGAGTACCCTAGACTGAGTCATGGTCACCAGCTGGCACATGTGTCTAGCAGGGCCAGGTGGGGCTGGGACCCTTCAAAATCACTATTTGGTCTTCCTGGCTGCTTCCTGGCACACAGCTCCTAAATCCTTGGAAGCTGGCCCTGTTAAGTGTAGGTCCCTAGATAGCTTCAGGATGGCGGCTGGTCACCAGGAGGACCCACACTTGATTAGAGTGAAAGTCCCCACCCAGCCACGCCTCCCAGGAAGGCTGGAGATGGAGTCAGTTGCCAGTGGCCCTTCATTTATTCAGTCACACCTACATAATGGAGCCCCATAAAAATCCCCTGAACTGGGGTTCAGAGAGCCTCCAGGTTGCCCTACACATCTCTTCCATCTGCCAGTTCCCGAGTTATGTCTGTAACAAAGCAGAAAATTTAAGTGCCTTCCTGAGTTTCCTGAGCTGTTATGTTGAATCACCTGACCTGAGGGGGTCACAGGACACCCCACGTGTGTAACCAGTCAATCAAAAGTTCTAAAGGCAGCCTGGAACCTGCCGCGGGCATCCAGAGTGGGTCTGAGCTCTTAATTGTAGGTCTGCCCAACTCCACGTAGGTAGTGTCAGAACTGAACCTCAGCCGGTGTCTGGAGAGTCCCATTGGTGAGAGAGACTGAATGTAAAACCTTTGCTGCACCCCAGAGAGCCAATTCACCCAGTGCCCCATGGCCCCAAGCGTGGCTGATGGTCACACGGTTCCCAGCCCCCTCCCTGTGATCAGGGAGGTCAGGCTGTCTCGGGACCCACGTTCGCCTCTGCTGGTGCACAGCTTTCCCCAGTGTGTCTATTTGGTGGCCATGGGACCTCCCATGACATGGGCTTGCATTGGCTGAGGGCCCCAGTTGCTGTGCTCTGAAAATCCATGCCTGTTTCTGCCCTGGGGCCCGTTCCTGGGAGACCCAGCCCCCTCTGATGAGCCATTGTGGGTGGAGGCCCCCCTTGGTGGCCTTGCTGCCAAGACACCTCAGCCCCACCCCCGTTCTCCTTCCTTTGGGGTCAGACTTGCATCCGTGGGGCAACTTCCCGGCCTCCTTGCTCCCACTTGGTCTCAGAGTAAAGGGTTTTCTAATCAAGTCACCTAACGACTAACGCAGAGCTCCTCACACACTGTTGGGGACATTCCAAAAGATAACAGGACGGTAACGGCCACCAGCACTTGAACCTTACCTCCTCATTGGCATCCCCTTCCCAGGCGCTCCAGGGTTCGCGTGCCACAGAGCGCGTCCTCCCTGTGTGCTGCAGCGAGGCCCGGAGGGGCCCTCAGAGTGGTGGGGCGAGGGCCTTCCTCTCTCGGGGCATGGCCATCCTTAGCGCGTGGCCCGAGACTGCAACGCCCAAAATTCTCACTGTTGGTCAGCAGGAAAGGAACCAAGGGGAGGTGGCAGGGCCCCTAGGACACAGCTTGCTGGCCAAGACTTAGCAGCCTGGGCCCGGCCTTCCTGCAGGAGGGGGGTCCCTCTTGCCATCTGATGGTCACCCCTCCCTCTGGGCCTGTCCCTCTCCCACTGGTGCATTTCAGTTGTGACACTGTGGAAGACTCAGTGGGAGGTGAGCTACAGTCCCCTATTTGGGACGTTTCTCTTTTCCCTTTGGTCTCCCTCCTCCCACGTCAGTCTGCATAGTCTGCAGCGCCCGCGATGGCCTCTGAGGAGCACCTCCATCCTGCCCCTGCTCCTGGCTTCCTTGCCAGGACGGGACGGTCTTCCTGCACCTCCTGGGCCTCTGGACAGTCAGTTAATGAGGGACTGCAGGTGTCGCTGGAGGGTGGAGCACAGCCTGGCATGCTCGGCCCTGGGTTTAATCACCAGCACCACAGAGAAAAAACCCACCTGCCGCCCTCCTGCCTCCCCGCTGAGCCCAGTCCTTCCCTCGGCAGGCCTCCAGGAGCTGCCCACGCTGCCCCAGGCGGGCAGGTGTCAGCCATGAATGTGAGGTGGCCGCCCTGCTCCCGCCCCGTGATGGGGGTCTGCGCCCTCATCTTCTTGGCCGCGGCTGCCCTGCTGGGGCATGTCTTGGTCCATGACTTCCCGGTGGAGGAAAGTCCCCGAGTTCACCGGCAGCAAACCAACTGGCAAGGGCCGCGGTACACCCTGGAGCACCCTGGCCAGCCCAGAGCAGCGCCCACACAGTGTGACATCCCCCCCAACAGCCGCTTCGACTGTGCCCCGGACAAGGCCCTGACCCAGCAGGAGTGTGAGGACCGCGGCTGCTGCTATGTCCCAGCGAGCAGGGACCCTGAGGGCCCCCTGATGGGGCAGCCCTGGTGTTTCTTCCCACCCAGCTACCCCAGCTACAGGATGGAGAACCTGAGCCCCTCGGAGACGGGCTACACAGCCACCCTGACCCGCACGTCCCCCACCTTCTTCCCCAGGGACATCCTGACCTTACGACTGGACGTGTTGATGGAGACGGAGAGCCGCCTCCACTTCACGGTGGGCAGGGGCGGACAGAGTGTGTGTGTGTGTGTGGACAGGTGACCAGGGAGTGCATTTGTGGCACTGTATGCACCCCAGCTAGAAGCCAAGGTGTAGGCAGAACAGTGAGGCCTTGTGACAGGGGCTCTAGAAGGCAGGGCTCAGGGCAGAGGTGGCCCCGGGCCTCCCACAGGAAGCGAGGCCTCAGCCATCCCATAGGAATCTGCAGGAGTGTGTCCAGGCAGTGGGAGGGACTGGGGGATGTGCCTCCCTGTCCACGAGGGCCTTGAAGACTGCTGTCTCTCCTAGATCAAAGATCCTGCTAACAAGCGCTATGAGGTGCCCCTGCAGGTCCCGCGTGTCCACAGCCGGGCACTGTCCCCGCTCTACAGCGTGGAATTCTCGGAGGAGCCCTTTGGGCTGGTGGTTCGCAGGAAGCTGGACGGCCGGGTGCTGTGAGTTGGGGGCGTGGGCCTCGGGCCCCAGCAAGTGGGTGTGGTCAGGGAGGGCCTCAGGGCTGGACCTATCAGTGAGTTGGACAGCATGGTCCTCAGCTCTGGTCTTCTGTCAGTCTTGACCCACGGCCCACCTCCCATCCGGGCTTCCTGGCCATACCTGGCACACCCAGACCCATGCCCACTGAGGCTCAGCGGGGCACTCTTCTGGGATCCTGGTGTGGTGTCCCCATTGGCTCAGGAGGTTCCTCCTGGGGGGTCACCTGGCCTAGGACTTCACCTGCCAGGAGAAGCTTGTGGTATCTGTAGGCACTAATGTTGGCACAGTGGGGCACTCCTGGCATCTCATGAGTGAGGTGCTGACCAGCTTCCTGCAGTGCCCAGGAGACCCCCACTGAATGCCAGCAGTGCCTGAGGAGGGACCTCGGCCTGGTCTATGGTGGCACCCCCTCCAGGTGGCATGCCATTACCAGCTTTATTTTATGCATCAAATGCGTGTCACTCACTGCAGTCCAGATGCTAATGATTAATTAATTTAAACCTTTCAACACTTGGGTTATTGGCCCTCTTACTACCCCGCTGTGGCACAGAGGCAGGGGACTCCCTGGAGGCGATGGAGCTGGGGCTCTAGCGTCCCTGCCATTGGCCCTCCTCTGTGCCTGTGTCCCTGGCATGCCCTGTGCTTGCTCGTCCTGCTGTCCTCTGCCTGGTGGGCGGGTGGGCACGGCCTCTCTGGACGTGCCCTGCATCTCCTCACTGGTTTCAGGGTG